GATCGAGTCCCGCATAGGGCTCCCTGCTCGGGAGTCTGTTTCTCCCGCTGACCTCTCTCCGCTCATTCTCTCTCTCTCTCTCTCTCAAATAAATAAATAAAATCATTTTAAAAATTAAAAAAAAAAAAAGAAATAATGATGATATCCTTCTCACTTATTTTGTGATAATGAGATGAGAAAAAGTACATAAAAATTTTCCTAGGGGCACCTGGAAAATTGGTGCCGGAATTGGCACCTGGAAACCAAGTGGCCCAGTCGGTTAATCATCTGCCTTCAGCTCAGGTCCTGATCTCAGGGTCCTGGGATCAAGGCCCACTTTGGGCTCCTTGCTCAGCAGGAAGCCTGCTTCTCGCTCTGCCACTTCCCCTGCTGTGCACTCCCTCGCTTCTGTCAAATAAATAAATCTTAAAGAAAAAAAAAAAAAAACCAACTTGGGGTGCTGGGTGGCTGAGTTGTTAAGCATCTGCCTTCAGCTCAGGTCATTATCTCAGAGTCCTGGGATCAAGCCCCACATCGGGCTCCCTGCCGGCGGGAAGCCTGCTTCTCCCTCTCCCACTCCTGCTTATGTTCCCTCTCTTGCTGTCTCTGTCTCTGTCAAATAAATAAAATATTTAAAGGAAAAAAACTTAATTAGAAAGTTTTGTAGTAGCGTTAGAAATAAATCAGGTAAATAAGTTATTTAAGCCATGCCATATATGCTTTTCTGTGAATTAACAGGTTCTCTTTTGGAAGTAATACTTACATAATATTATGCTGAATTCCATTCTAGTTATCTATAATAAATTATTCCAGTTAAAAGCAGATTTAAATGGTACTACTACACAGCAGATTTTAGATAGATTTGGATTACAGTTAAATAACATACAAAAATTGTTTTAAAGCATAAAGTTAGAGATTTACAAAGCAACAGAGTTTTTGTTGTTCTTGTTGTTGTTGTTTTAAGATTTTATTTATTTATTTGACAGAGAGAGACTACAAGTAGTTAGAGACGCAGGCAGAGAGAGGAGGAAGCAGGCTCCCTGCCAAGCAGAGAGCCCAATGCGGGGATCGATCCCAGGACCCTGAGATCATGACCTGAGCCTAAGGCAGTGGCTTAACCCACTGAGCCACCCAGGCACCCGGCAACAGAGTTTTTGAGCTCCTGTTATGTGCTAGCCCCTATAGGGTACCAAGAAGGCTGCCAGGCTGCTGAGGAATAGTGGGCTGCTTTTCCCAGAGAGCTTTTACAGCTGAGAAAAATGTATACCAAGAGAGAATGACAAAAGTAATAAGCAGTACAAGGCAAATTCAAATTAGACTATAGGATTTTGTAAATTGAAGAGGTCATGGGAGGCTGTCGTGGTCATGGAAAGGTATCTAGAAGAAGCTGAGAGCTCGGACACAAATAGAATCAAATAGGGAAATGAGAAGAAAGTACTTCAGGTAATGGAATGCAAAGTCTTATGAGTCAGCTGTCTAGAATGGAATTTTTTTCAATAGGAAGATAGGATGAGGCTGAGGGGTAGTAAGTCTTAAATGTGAGCCTGCACAGTTCAGACTGTATCCTGTGAGTTTTTGAAAGTTCTGGAACAAAGGAATTAATTAAGGAGCCAGTATTTTTTTTTTTTTTAGATTTTTATTTATTTGAAAGACAGAGATTACAAGTAGGCAGAGGAGCTAGACAGAGAGAGGAGGAAGCAGGCTCCCCGTCAAGCAGAGAGCCTGATGTGGGGCTCGATCCCAGGACCCTGGGACCATGACCTGAGCCGAAGGAAGAGGCTTTAACCCACTGAGTCACCCAGGCGCCCCAGGAGCCAGTATTTTTTTTTTTTTAAGATTTTATTTATTTATTTGACAGGCAGAGATCACAAGTAAGCAGAGAGGCAGGCAGAGAGAGAGGAGGAAGCAGGCTCCCCACAGAGCAGAGAGCCCGATGTGGGGCTCGATCCCAGGACCCCAAGATCTTAACCTGAGCCGAAGGCAGAGGCTTTAACCCACTGAGCCACCCAGGCGCCCCAGGAGCCAGTATTTTATACAGTTACTTCCCTGGTGCCAGTGAATAAGGTGGACTTGAGGAAAAGAGTCAGGAGTCCTCATTTCCCAACCCCTATGCCTCTTTCCAAAAAAAAAAAAAAAAACCTAGTGTAAATAATTCTAGGTGGGAATGCTGATTGCTACTTAAAATAGACTGCACATTATGTATTCCAGTCCTTCTCATTTTCCTTAAACGTAGATTGTTTTATCAAATTATAATTATTTTTCACTTTGTCATTCTTACCTACTGTGTCTCCAGATAACTTGCTTAAGGCCAGCATAAAATTTATTTCAGTAGGTCTTAAAGTTTCGTGTTTTTTGTTTGGTTGGTTGGTTTTTTATGTGGGCTTTTTTTTATTGTTGTTCTCGGTTGGTTTGTTTGTTTGTTTGTTTGTTTTTGAGATAGAGACAGTGAGGGGAGGGGTGAGGGAGGAGGGACAGAGCGGGGAGAGAATCCTAAGCAGGCTCCACACCCAGCATGGAGCCAACACAGGGCTCCATCTCAGGACCCTGAGATCATGACCTGAGCCAAAATCAAGAGTCAGATGCTCAATCAACTGAGCTGCCTGTGTACCTGATTTTACTTTATAAAGGAGAAAGAATACTGAGGATAAGATTATACAACATAAGTGCTTATCAGACCTAGTGTAGATTCATTTTCAGTAGATACACTTTGAATCAACTTGGTATTCCTCAGTTATGTGAGCTCTGACTTGGCACTGCACTCACAGGGTACCTTATAAATACTGCTGAACTCTAAGTGGTAAATGCCTGAGCGTTTTCCCTCTGTTGCTTTTACTCAGCTGTGTCATCATTGGGGAAATGTCAGCAGGGTAGAGGAAGAGCTAGTGCTGCTTTATAGGCTCATGCTGGAGGTGCCAGATGGGGTTGTCAAGTGTCCCCCCCCCCCCCACTGCCAGCACCATCCGTAAGAACCACTTCCCTGGCAAAAGCTTTTGCCATTCGTGACCTTGTATACTGGTATGAGCCCCTTAAAGATAAATCAGTGTATCATAAATCTGAAAAAATTCTTAGAAATAAGTTGAGGTAGGCTAAGCCCTACAAAAATGGCCACAGAATTTTCTTTTAATACCTCATTCTGACTTGTTTTTAAGCCACCTCATCAATGTGTCTGTGTAATGTGATATAATGCTTTGCATCTTGTTTATTAAGAGTCTTTGATCACGTATCAGCACTGAGGCTTGAGGGCCTAAATCTTCAGATCCAGGGATTAAGAGAGGAAGGAAAGGAGAAAGGGAGAAAAGGAAAGGATAAAAGAAAGAAAGTGAGGGGTGTCTAGCTGACTTGGTTGGTGAGGCATGCGACTCTTGATCTCAGGGTTATGAGTTTGAGTCCCATGTTGGGTGTAGAGATTACTTAAAAATTAAATATTTTTAAAAAGATAATATGTGTATATTTTATGGGGAGGATATTCCTTATTCTTAATTCTTAGAATCATTAGAGAAAAAGGTTTGTTGTAATACTTAATTACAACTAGGATGAGTCATTCTGGACGTTAAAAAAAAAAAATCAGAGGAAGGGATGGTAGGTCACAATCACAAAGGCTTTCTTGACCCATTATAGTTGCTTTAAAATTAACCTGCCCCTTAGGCTAGCCTTTCCTGCCCAATCCTTCTTCCCTTTTGGGAGGAAAATCATTTAGGAAGATAAACTCAGGGGTGCCTGCATGGCTTAATTGGTTAAGTGTCTGCCTATGGCTCAGGTCATGATCCCCAGGTCCTGTGATTGAACCCCATGTCAGGCTCTCTGCTCCATAGAGAGTGTGCTTCTCCCTCCCTCTGCCTGCCTCTCCCCCTGCTTATGCTCGCTCGCTCACTCTCTTTCAGATAAATAAATAAAATCTCCTTTATTTTAAGATTTTACTTATTTGAGAGAGAGTGGCAGAGAGAGCACAAGGAGGGTGGGCAGAGGGAGAGAGAGAAGCAGGCTCCCCGCTGAGCAGAGAGCCGGATGCGGGGCTCGATCCCAGAACCCTAGGATCATGACCCGAACCAAAGGCAGCCACTTAATCAACTGAGCTGCCCAGGTACCCCAATAAGTAAAATCTTTAAGAAAAAAAAATAATAAGATAAACTGAGTCTTTCTGGGTATAGCATTGACTTTTACACAGAATATTAATCTATATGTACATGTAACATTCATTTGGGGTTTGACCAAACAATTTCTTTTGTGGCCACACAATTTTCAAGTCTTTTAAAACCTTAAGAATTTTGAATTTAGGGTGCCTGGGTGGCTCAGTGGGTTAAGCCACTGCCTTAGGCTCAGGTCATGATCTCAGGGTCCTGGGATCGAGTCCCGCATCGGGCTCTCTGCTCGGCAGAGAGCCTGCTTCCTCCTCTCTCTCTCCTTCTCTCTCTCTCTGCCTGCCTCTTTGCCTACTTGTGATCTCTCTGTCAAATAAATAAATAAAATATTAAGGAAAAAAAAAAAGAATTTTGAATTTATAAGTTAAAAAAGAAAAAGGTGTCTTAAAGTGCCATGGAAAATAAGATTTAATATTTTCCATATGTTGTCCAGAAACTACTTGAAAAACAATTCAGTGGATTAAAGTTGTGACAGATAGTCAAACTAGACCAATTAATTTGAATAAAAACTTTAATATTCAGCATGTTTTATTACTTTTATTTTCTTGATGGTCAAGAATATCCAGCTGCCAGGTTACAGGTAACCATGAGGGTGAAACAAGAACATAATAAAATCTGAAAGAAGAAAGGAGTGTTAACTGCTTTATCTGAGGGCGTTGCCCATGTGCATGTGTTGTAGTGGTGAATCTGATGTGGGGCTGAATTCATTATTCAGACGGAATCTTTGAGCAGTTTAATCAACATAAAGTGTGTGTCACCCGTTCACACTTCTGCTAGGTATGAAAGAATTATTCTGTGCAAAGGTGCTGTAATGCTTGAGTTTTTTTCCAGCTCAAGATTATTCTTAGGATCTACATCTTTACTGTTGCTCCTGTTCTGTAGGCATATTCAGAACATGAGTGAGATCAAGACAGACGTCGGACGAGCTCGGGCATGGATAAGACTATCTCTAGAAAAGAAGCTCTTGTCCCAGCATCTAAAGCAGTTGCTCTCCAACCAGCCACTCACCAAGTAAGAGACAGCCTCTTAGACTTTTCTGCTTCTGTGACCTGTGTGTCTGCAAAGCAGATTGCATAAGCTGGCAGACTGACTTCTTCAGCACAAATTGCTGATTCCTGTGCACACATATTCTTCCTTTCTAACAGGCATGTGCTTTGGACACTCCATGGTTTGACACAGTAATTGATTTTACCTGGGAGGACACACACCAGACTTGACAGCCAAAGGCCAGATTGCTCTGTTCTCAACCAGAAAAAAACCTAACTAGTTCTCACAGGCTGACAGTAACATCCAAAAGATAGGTTGAATTTATCTAAACCTTATATTGTAAAGATCACAACAAAACCTGTAGTAGCACAAAAAAAAAAAGTCCACATTAAGAGGTTTCTTCTGAGAGTGTTGGCGAATGCTTACATTCGATAGTTTAGAGCCAGGAAAGCAATCAGTTGCATGTTACTTCATTGTTAACTGTTTAAATAGGTCTCCCTTTACTCCCTCAGGAAACTCTCTTAGATAAAATGCATCATCTGCATAATATATATGTTAGAGCTAATTTGAAGCCTGAGGACTTAGGTCTCTAGAGCAAAGCTACGCAAAAAACTCAACAAAGTTCTCAGACTTGACCTTGCATTGAAATCTCATCATGGTAACAATTCTTTTTATAGTTTTGTGTTTGTACACATCATCACTGGGCTGTTTACCCCCCCAAACCCTGGAGCATTTTAAGATGAGTCTTAATGTCCAGAGAGTAGGTTTGATAAAGAATACAAAGTTAGATACAGGCAGTGAACCTAATCTTGTTCTCTGAAACTAGTTACTCCCCTTACCCATCCCTGCCCATTATAAATCATTCATGTCCACTATGTCCAAAGTACATAAAGTGCTATGTAAAGGTTGTGTGCCTTGGGGTGCCTGGCTGGCTTAGTAAGTAGAGCCATGCGACTCTTGATATCCGGGTCATGGGTTCAAGCCCCACATGTGGTGCAGAGTTTTATAAATACATACTTACATATAGTTGCACACCTGAGTGGCTCAGTTGGTAGAGCATGCAACTCTTGATCTTGGGTCATAAGTTCAAGCCCCATGTTGGGTGTACAGCTACTTGAAAAAGAAGAAAATCCCACTACATAAAGGTAAATACCAAGTATTTCGCATGTTTTCTTCTGTACTTTCTTCTATGCATGCTCTCTTAGTTAAGATTATACTGTATTCACAATTCAGTATCTTTTTTTTTTTAGATTTTATTTATTTATTGACAGAAGGAGAAAGATCACAAGTAGGCAGAGAGAGAGGGGGAAGCAGGCTCCCCACTGAGCAGAGAGCCCGATGCGGGGCTTGATCCCAGGACCCTGAGATCATGACCTGGGCCGGAGGCAGAGGCTTAACCCACTGAGCCACCCAGGCGCCCCTTCAATATCATTTTTTTAAGATTTTATTTTTAAGTAATCTCTGCACCCAACCTAGGGCTCAGATTCAAAACCCCAATAATCAAGAGTTACATGGTCTTCTGACTGAGCCAGCCAGGAGCCCCGGTATCATCCTTTTTTTAGCTTGGTGTGTTATAAACATTTCACTGTAAGAGTTTAAGCTCAGAAGACTGAATGCCTTTGTTCAGATACTGCCTTTACTATTTACTATTTGAATGACTGGACAGGATACTTTTTTGTATGTCTGTTTTCCTAATTTATAAAATGAGAATGCTAATAGACTTACTTCATAGGGTAATCATGAGGATTAATATATTAATATAATACACTTGGAAAAGTGCTTTAATGTAAGTGCTTAATTAAAATTACTTATTTTTAGTAGTAGTTTTGTTTTTGTTGTTAAAACACTTTAGGGGCGCCTGGGTGGTTCATGGGTTAAGCAGCTGCCTTCAGCTCAGGTCATGATCCCACGGTCCTGGATTGAGTCCCATATGGGCCTCCCTGCTCAGCAGAGAACCTTATTCTCCCTCTCACTCTGCCTGCCACTCTGCCTACTTGTGCACTCTCTCACTCTCTCTCTGTCAAATAAATAAGTAAAATCTTAAAAAAAAACTTCATAAACTTTATTTTCAATGTTCAGACAGTATTCCAGTGTATGCATATACCATGATACATTTTTCCTTTTACAAATAACATTTCAGTGGACATCTGTGAGTAAGCCTTGCCCGTATTTCATATTATACTCTTAGGACTGAGTCCTAAAAGTAAAACAAATGCATTTGACTTTGACTAAATTAATGTGTTTATTTTTAGTACAAGACATAATGAAAAGCAAACTGCTATTTTGTGCTTGTCTTACCCATTCCTAGGAAGCTTTATAAGCGTTATGCTTTTCTACGCTGTGAAGAAGAAAGAGAGCAGTTTCTTTACCATCTTCTTTCCCTCAATGCAGTTGACTACTTCTGCTTCACCAGCGTGTTCACCACTATCAGTAAGTCTGGAGAATTGGCTAATAAGTGAAGAGTTGCTCAGGTGACTAATGGAATAAGAGTTTATATTTTTACAAGTGACATATATGACAGTACAGTGAAATAGACTGTTTGTGAGGCGGGCCCCAGACCTCTATTTAGGAATGAAGCTTGTGCCCCAGCAGCTGGGACTACTTTGGGAAGGCAGGCCTCAGCTGCCAGCCTCTGTGGGGAGTGCCTCACCAGAACAAACTACCTTCCCCTTCCCAACCCTCCCAAGATGATCCCTCCTTAGCAGGGCCAGCCAGCATCCTAGGACTATCATAGGTCTGTTCTAGAACTTAACTGTGGCATCAGCTGAAGACTTCACTGCACTGTATCACAGTTCAGCTTCTCTCAGCCACATGGTGATCCCAGGAGCAACATCTTGCATGCTGACTTCTGACTTTATCTGCTTTCCAGGAACCCCAGTCTACAGTAGGAAACGGGCTGGATGTTAAAAAGGAATATTTGATTAGGGACCCCTGACTGGCTCAGTCCGTGGAGCATGCAATTCTTGATCTCAGGGTCATGAGTTCAAGCCCCATGTTGGGCCTAAAGCTTACTTCAAAAAAAAAAAAGTTTTACTAAACAAATCATCCAGTATCTTACATAAAACACATAAAATTTTAAAAATCAGCATACCATAATAAACATATGGAACTGTGAACATCATTAAACTTTGATGATTCAGAAAGACTTTAAGACCTTACGGAATAATGTAGGATTGTAGAGGGAGGAAATGCTGATTGGAGATGTGTTTTTGATAGAAAGTCAAATTATCACATTTATTCACCAGTACTAATTCTTAGGTGCAGTGGCTCCCCTTACCCACTTTGGAGAATTTTTACTTGTATCAGAAATTGTGTTTAGCTGCAAGAATCAGAAACTTGGAAAACAGTGCTTTAAACAAATAGGTGGTTTCACATTTCTTATATAATGAGAAGTTTAAAAATAGTCTATAGTACGTTCAGGGACCCAGAGTCTTTGTCCTTCTCTTCTAGACAGTCCTCAGTGTGTGCTAATCATCTCATGGTCATAAGATGGCTGTTCTCATTCCACCTTCTAGCAGGGAAGAAGGAAGGAGTGCCAAGGAGTAAAGGGCAGAACCTGTGCTAGAAAAACAGGATTTTCAGGGCCCCTGGGTGGCTCAGTGGGTTAAAGCCTCTGCCTTCGGCTCAGGTCATGATCCCGGGGTCCTGGGATCGAGCCTCTCTGCCTGCCTCTCTGACTACTTGTGATCTCTGTCTGTCAAATAAATTAATAAACAAAATCTTTAAAAAAAAAAAAAAAAGGATTTTCTAAGAAATCCCAATAAATACAACATGTCACTGGCCAAAAATTAGTAGGTTTTGGCTTTCTAGTCTCTGATAGAAGCAGACAAGGAAACATTGAGCTGAACTGGGTATTGGGCCAACCAGTAGTATCTGCCAACTATCCATTAGTATCTAAACTATCAGTGTAAAGATTTTATTTAACACAGAGATTACAAGTAGGCAGAGAGGCAGGCAGAGAGAGAGGGAAGCAGGCTTCTTGCTGAGCAGAAAGCCTGATGCGGGGCTTGATCCCAGGACCCTGAGATCATGACCTGAGCCGAAGGCAGAGGCCCAACCCACTGAGCCACCCAGGCACCCCAAAACTATCAGTCAGTTTAGTACATTACTGCTGGTGTAAGAAGCTAAGATGTTAGGGGTGCCCAGGTGGCTTAGTGGGTTAAGTGCCCAACTCGATTTCAGCTCAGGTTATGACCTCAGGGTTGTGACCTCAGGCCCTGTGTTGGGCTCCCCGCCCAGTGGGGAGTCTGCCTGAGATTCTCTCCCTCTCCCTCTGCCCCTCCCTTACCATCTCCCCCTTTCTCTCAAATAATAAATAAATAAATATTTTTTTTAAAAAGGGCCTAAGATGTTATGTACAGTCCTAAAAGAAGTAGCCCAGGTAGTTAGGACTCCTAAAATCCTACTTGTATCTATAGATTCCATGTAAGTAACTCTGAAGAATTGAGATCTTCATGAAAGAAATAATTTTAGGTTTAATAATATTACTCCTTTTATACTTTATGTAATCACAGTTGTGCATCTGACCCTAAACCCCCTTTTTTTTTTTTTTTTTTTTTTTTTGTAGCTTTTCTAATCCTCTCAGTGAAAGGACTGAGAGAAGCCTCTGGCACCTAAAATAAAGTCTTGTACTAACCTCTTCTGCTTTCAGTTTCAAAACCCATTTGATTCTGATGATTACTAAACCATGAAAGTATGGCCTTTCCTCTGACATTTTCCTTTCCTTCAGCCAAAATGAAAAGACCGAAAGGGAGGTTATTCACCTAACATAAAGAAAGTCATTTATGTAAAATTAGGGAAATGAACCGTTAATCCCATTCAGTTTCCTTATATAAGAGTGCATTGAACCATGATCTCGTTTTCTGAGGCTGTATCTGGGCATCTTGTCCAATAAATGTGTATCATCGTATGTGTAGGTCTTTCAAGGAGGGCTTCTGAGACCCTTTCTTTTGACTAAAGGAGCAGAAATTCCAAGGATACAAAAAAAAATTGATTCTACCCTGCTTTTAAAAAAAAAACAAGTATGACTCTGAGGGATAAAAATACGCCAGTGTTTGAACCATCCCTATTTTTAAAAGAGAATGGAGGGAGTGCAATGTCTTTATTGTGCTACCCTGTTTGAGCAAAAGACAGTGATAGGACAGTGACATCTAGTGGTATGCCTTCTAAAGAGCCTTTCTGAAGGAAAAGGTTGCAAACAGATTGCTTTCTACATCTTGATTCTTCCCCAGGGCTCCTCTTGTACCTGAGTGGTCTCAATAGCTTTCCAAATTGTGGTTTATACACTTTGTTATATCCAGAATGGTACTGTTTATTACTCTTGGCTTTGCATAGCGAGCTGTACAGTTGGGATGGGAACATTCTGAAACATTGCCTTGAGGAAATTAGCAATAAGGCGATAGTGTCCAAGAAGCCATTCACCCCCTTTTACATATGAACCCACATCAGGAACCTTGCTCCCTAGTATACTTGATTTTAGAACAAAATTTAAAACATTAAAGCAGTGAAAATTTGTATAGGAGTCAGTTCTGGTGTTGATGCCTGGGATTGCTTTTTGTAAATGTAGAGGTTACGTATGTATAGAGGTAACATATGTAAACAAGTACTTGTTTACATATGTTACGTATGCAGGTGATACTCTGCATGTCATGCATACCTGGTGATATATATGCCATGGAAACCGTCACAAGCTTGGACTTGTGATTTAAAAACTGGACCTCATCTTTATAGACTGAAAGAGGTGATCTCATCTTCTGTGTAATCACATCTTGAAAGATCCCAACAAGCAAACTATCTGTGAAAGCCAACAGAGTCATTAATATGTATTTCCCTTATTATCAGGAGAATTTTATTGTGATTTTTAATTTCAACATTGTTCTTCCAGTGATTCCATATAGGTCCGTGATCATCCCCATCAAAAAGCTGAGCAATGCGATCATCACATCGAACCCTTGGATCTGTGTATCAGGAGAGCTAGGAGACACGGGAGTAATGCAGATTCCCAAAAACCTCCTTGAAATGACTTTTGAGGTAGGTTCAGCTAATACCTTTCTTAGCAGAAAATGTCATACATAGTTCTACACAAGGATTCCAGTTTTACTTCTTCATGTATCCTCAAATCAAATAATACAAAGGAGTACTCAAGCATGCAGGATCATTTTTGTGAGTATACACCTTGTCTTAAACACAGTTATTTGTTTTATATTTTTATTGCTATAATATAATAATAATATATATATTGTAATTTTAGTTATTAAGCTCTATTTTTCTACTTGTAATGGAATACTTTGGGGCTTTGCTAGGTTCTATTCCATGATTGCTGGTGCTTTGCACAGAAGCGGGCAAGTAGGGAACATTCAAGTAAATGCTTTTCCCACAGTGTTTCTCTTTCTTACTATAAAATGCTCTCTGCCACCTGGACAGAGGAATTGGAGAGCTGACACCCATGCTTATGGCTTGTAAACCACATGGTGACATTTGTAGAGTGATCTATAAAAATACCTTTTGATATTGTAGTCAGTTTTCAGGTCTCATCTGCTGAAGCATTCCCCTGTCTTTGAGCCCCCCTGCAGGCTGATCCTGGAATGCAGGAGGAAGACAAACACCTGCTCTTGTTTCAGGAGAGAAGTAGTACTGACTGAATATCCTGTTTCCATGTTCCTTGGGGTCTAGGAACAGCAGTTTCCACTTAGTCATCATAACACACCCAAGAGCCCCTTTTAGCCCTATTTATCTAAAATAGACTCACTATACACAAAAGATTAAAATGCTTGGGTTTTCTTTGACTAGCAAGTATGAAACATAAACTCTATTATAAGTTCCATCATTACTGTTTCCAGACTCTCTCATTTCTGCCTACTTCTTTCCATCTTTCCTGCCACAGCTAATTCAAGACACCATCCTCCCTCACGTGAATGACTGTGATGTCTTCTCACCTTGATACAAAGTCAAGGGCTTTAAGAATTCATAGCTGTGATGTTCCCAACCATATATAGTCATTTGGGGGTTCTGTGATATTTTACCAGAATTTAAAAGTCAGAATTTAATTGACATTTATTTTTACTATTCCTTTTATTGCTTTCTTTTGTACTTGTCCACTGATGGCCAGGAAGGATATTGATAACTAATTTTTTTATGATAGCTTCAAAGGCTTCTAGTAGGTGAGATTTCAGGTCAGTTCTGCCTTAAGCATTTTATTAGAAACAGAAAAACAGCTATGTCAGTGATTATTTATTTATTTATTTATTTTCCTGACTTCACTGTAACTGAATCTAAATAGCATCCTTTTGCCACTTCTTGAAATTATTCTCACCATAAAGGCACAAATTCTGGGTTCCCCAGGTAGAAATAATTTTTCCTTTTCCAGTGTTTTTCTAGTACTTGTTTACATCTCTAGCACCTTGTATAGTCCCCTCATTTGATAGTTATTGTCCATATGTGTCCTAGCTCATTAGATGGGATATAGTGGATGTGAATATATTTCTCTACTACAAAGCAGAGCACATTATGCAGGATGAGTCTTCTGTAGTTGTTAAATTAGATGAAACTAAAGTGCCACCACTAAAGCTAAGCAGTAGTAGGAGTGGGATCAAGCTCTGAATAACCTGTGGTCCTGTCCCTCCAGTGCCAGAACTTGGGGAAGCTGACCACTGTTCAGATTGGTCACGATAACTCAGGACTGTTAGCCAAATGGCTAGTGGATTGTGTCATGGTCAGAAATGAGATCACAGGACATACATACAGGTAAGTAAATGTCCTTGGGAGCTCAGAATTCTTTCTTTGAGACTCTTTATCAAGACAAGGTTTAAGAATTGCTTCCTTCTGGGGTGCCTGTCTGGCTCAGTCACAAAAGTGTGTGACTCCTGATCTCAGGGTACTGAGTTTGGACCCCATGTTGGATGTAGAGATTACTAAAACAAACTTTAAAAAAAGAATTATTTTCTTTCTAAAGCTTTCTCACAGCCTTCTGAATCTTAGTTTAGGTTGTTGTGTTGTTTAGTCTTGCTTTTTTTTTTTTTTTTTTTTTTAAGATTTTCTACATATTTGAGAGAGTGAGAGCAGAGTCAAGAGACAACAAGAGTGGAGTGGGTAGCTGCAGGGGAAGAAGGAGAAGCAGGCCCCCTGCTGAGCAGGGAGTTTGGGGGTGGGTACCTGACCCCAGGACTCTGGAATCATGACCTGAGCTGAAAGCAGACACTTAACCGACTGAGCCACCTAGGTGCTCGTTAATTTTACTTTTTATGTAATACAAAATTACCCCCAGAAAACTTCTAAAAAATTGTGTGTGCTATCAATGCCTAGTCCGCAAGTGTTGGAAAAGATTGATATAACTCTGATTAAAAAAAAATAAATAAAAAAGGGCAGCTTGAAGTAATTAATTTAGTAGGAGGAAAGGATCTTTTGGACTCTACTGGTTATAGCTGGTACTCCTCTTTGGAAACACCATCCTCTTTTCCCCTATAACTCAACTTCCATATTAGCTTCTAGTTTGAAAATATTCTTGTCAGAACTAACCACAGTATTTTAATATAGGTGAGGTATGAGAAAATAGTGAATCAATTTAATTTGTTTGAATGTGGTAGCAATTTCTGGCTATATAAGAGAGAATGTCTTTATTTTTCAGATACTGAAGTGTTTTTAGGAGTAAAATGTCCTGATGTGTGCAATGTACTGTAAAATAGTTCCAACATAAAATAAAAACAAAGCATATGGCAAAACATAAAGAATATGGGTGTCTGTTATACAATTCTCTCTACTTTTCTGTATGTTTGAAATTTTAAAATTAAATTTAAAAAATAACCCATAGGCACTAAAATGATGGGCTTCACCCAGTTGCCATTTTAAAAATTCTGATTAAAACTAGTGAAGTACTGGTGATGGAGAAGTTGTTTTTCTGACCTGTAAGGTTCCCATGTGGGCGGTGGTTGGGGAAAGGCATTGATGATGGAAGCCTGGAGAGAATCCTTATTGGGGAATTGATGACCTCGGTGGCAGATGAGGATCTGGTAAAGCAGTGTCGGACTCCACCCCAGCAGAAATCGCCCACCTCGGCTCGGAGACTGAGCATCACTTCACTGACAGGAAAAACCACCAGTAAGTACCATCATTGACTGTTAAATTTGCAGTATGCCTAAGATGTTGCAGGTATCATGGGGCCATTTCACAGGGAACATACATTAATGAAATGTGGCAAGATTAAAAAGAAGAAAGTGGAGGAAAATTAATTTGGGCAAACAGACTTTGAAAGAAGGAGGAGAGAGGAAAGGGAAAAAATAAGGTAAGAATTAACAAATAATTAAAAACCTGAAGAATTTAGATATTAAAATCAAATAAAAACTGCATGTTCTGTTTTAATTAAGCTATGGAAATGTGACTAAGTAATATTTTGACTAAAACTTAAAGGAGGAAGGGTACCTGGCTGGTTCAGTTAGTAGAGCATGAGACTCTTGATGTTGGGGTTGTGCATTCAAGCCCCATGTTGTGGGATAGATTGTACTTCTAAAAGAAAAAAAGGAAAAAAAAAAAAAAAAACCAGGGGTGTTTGGGTGGCTCAGTGGGTTAAGCCTCTGCCTTCGGCTCAGGTCATGATCTCAGAGTCCTGGGATTGAGCCCCACATCGGGCTCTCTGCTCAGCGGTGAGCCTGCTTTCCCCTCTCTCTCTGCCTGCCTCTCTGCCTACTTGTGATCTCTCTCTGTCAAATAAATAAATAAAATCTTTAAAAAAATAAAAAATAATAAAAAGTAAAATAAATAAAAATTCCTCTCCAGGGGCACCTGGGTGGCTCAGTTGGTTAAGCAACTGCCTTAGGCTCAGGTCATGATCCTGGAGTCCCAGGATTGAGTCCCATATCAGGCTCCCTGCACAGCGGGTAGTCTCCTTCTTCCTCTGACCTCTCTCCTCTCATGCTCTTTCTCTCTCTCAAATAAATAGAAAATCTAAAAATTCCTCTCCCTACGCCTGTGTTCCTACAGAAGTAATAAAATACTATAGAGGAGTGACTTCTATGGATAGGATGCTGTATTTACATGCCATTTTTAATACTACCATAAATTTCCAATTTATGTTAATGTGGTCTTTAGTAGGCTGAATAATGTCTCCCAAGAGTATTAGATCCTAATCCCAGAATCAGTAAATGTTACTTTATTTGGAAAAAAGATCTTTGTAAATGTGATTAACTTAAGGATTTTGGGATGGGCCGATTACCCTGGATTATCTAGGTGGGCCCTAAATGCAGTCACACATATTCTTAAAAGAGGGAGGCAGAAATTGGAGTGATGCAGCCACAAGCCGGAGAATGCCAGCAGCTGGCAGAAGCTTGAAGAGGTGAGGAGTGTGTTCTTCCTTTGAGCCTCAGAGCTGCCCTGATTTCTGCCCGGCAATAATTTCTGATTCCTGGAACTCTGGAGCAATGAGTGAATAGATGTGTGTTGTTTTAAGTCATCAACTTTGTGATAATCTATTACAGGAGCCACAGAAAACTAAAACAGAGGCAGTATGATTTAGTGAAAAATTACAGAAGTTTATCAGGGAAGTGGTTTTATTTCAGCCATAGACAATAAAGCCATAAGTAGAATATAACAGAACCTGAGAGGTCTTCAGTTTACCAACAAAGAGGTTTCCTTAAATATTTTTAGTCCCCGTCCATTTATTAGCACATGGCAGTATATTAACTATTAGATATAGCCTAAAAATTCTCCTTACTCTTTTTTTTTTAATATTTTATTTATTTATTTGACAGAGAGCACAAGTAGGCAGAGCGATAGGCACAGGGAGGGGGAGAAGCAGGCTCCCCGCTGAGCAGGGAGTCCTGGGATCATGACCTGAGCTGAAAGCAGAGGCTTAACCAACTGAACCACCCAGGCGCCCCCCCGCCATTCTTTCTCAAAATATGCCCCTGATTCATAATTCCTTGTTGCCTTCAGAAGTAGACTTCACACACTCACTAGATAAACTAAAATTATAAAGACTGATAATACCAAATGTTGGTGAGGATGGAGAGCAGTGGAATGCTCAGAGGAATGTTAGTAGGAATGACGAAGAAAAAACAGTTTGGTACTTTATTCTAAAGACATGCACACCCTTAGCATACACTTGACACAGAATCCCACTCCTCAGTATTTACTCAAGAGAAGTGAACATGTGGAGCTACAATAATACTTGCAGTCCTATGTTTATAGGAGCTTCATTCATAATAGTCAAAATAGAAATAATCCAGTATCCACCAGCTGGTGATTGGATAAGGAGAATGTGCTGTATCTATTCAGTGGCATAGTACTCAGCAGTATCTAAAAATGGACAAACTACTGATGTATCTAACAATATGGGTGACTCTCAGAAGCATTATGCTAAGTAAAAGAGAACAGACACAAAAGACTAGATGTTCTATGTTATCTAGATGGAATTCTAGAAAAGGCAGTATAATAATGAAAGAAATAATAAAGAAAGCAGAGCATCAGTTGCCAGGAGTTGAGAGTTAGGGAAGGGGATTGACTGAAAAGGCACACAGGGGAACTTTTGGGGTTGATAGGAATTTTCTGCATTATGATTGTAGTTTCGTGACTATACATCTGTCCGAGCTCATCAAATTGTGCACTTAAAATTGGTGAACTTATTGTATGTAATCCTAAATAGACTTAGAAGACTGACTTAAGGGGGCACCTGGGTGGCTCAGTTGGTTAAGCATCTGCGTTCCACTCAGGTCATGATCCCAGAGCCCTGGGATCAAGCCCTGCATCAGGCTCCCTGCTCAGCTGGGAGCTGGCGTCTCTCTCTCCCTCTGCCACTCCCTCTGCTTGTGCTCTCTCACTCTCTGTGTCATCAAATAAATAAATTTTTTTTAAAAAAGACATAAAAGATTTTAGCCCAGTCCATCCAAATTATTAGAACTTCTAAAACAGCCCCAGTTTATTTGGATATTACTGCTTTAGGAGGCCTAACTCCCTACTTTGGTCATATTTTCTTTCCTTACTCAATAGGTAGAAATTTTTAAATAACCTGAAATTCAGAGATAGGTGATTGGCATTTTCTCACAGTGTGTGCAAGGTGATATTTAGAGAACTAAAAGTTTTAAATCAGTTTTAAAATATTTCTGATTAGAGGCTCCTGGCTAACTCAGTTGGTAAAGCATGAGACTCTTAATCTTGGGGTTGTAAGTTTGAGCCCAATGTTGGGTGTAGAGATTAATCTTTTTTTTTTTTTTAAAGAGTTTATTTATTTAACAGACAGAGATCACAAGTATAGAGATTACTTAAAAAAATAAAATCTTTAAAAATAAATAAAATAGGGGCGCCTGGGTGGCTCAGTGGGTTAAGCCTCTGCCTTCAGCTCCGGTCATGATCTCAAGGTTGTGGGATCGAGTCCCGCATCAGGCTCTCTGCTCATCGGGGAGCCTGCTTCCTCCTCCTCTCTCTCTCTCTCTCTCTCTGCCTGCCTCTCTGCCTACTTGTGATCTCTCACTGTCAAATAAATAAAATCTTTTAAAAAATTAAAAAATAAATAAAATATGACTGATTAGTACAGTGCTATTTTAGAATGAATAAAAGTTTTCAAAATAAGTCTTCATATTTACTTTTTTAAAAATATTGTATTTTTTCATTTGAGACAGAGAAATAGAGAGAGAAAGAGCGCGCGCATATGAGCGGGGCAGACGGAGAAACAGACCGTCCACTGAGCAGGGAGCCTGATGTGGGACTTGATCCCAGAACCATGGGATCATGACCTGAGCTGAAGGCAGGCACTTAACCAACTGAGCGACCCAGGTGTCCCAAGATCTTCATGTTTAAAAAAATAAAATATTCAGGGGTGCCTGACTGGCTTAGTCGGTAGAGCATATGACTCTTGATCTCAGGGTTGTGATTTTGAACCCCACATTGGACATAGGGATTACTGGGAAAAAAAAATGAATATTTAAAAAATGTATTCAGAGAAAGGAAAAAAATAACTAGCAGCTGAAGAATCCACAGTATCAGTCCTTCAATCATTAGAGGTTCCCATTTTAACAATTTTTATGCATTGGTGTAGAAAAAACTTACTTGAGTTTTACCTGGAGAATGTTTTATGCAAGAAATCCTCCAGCAGTACGAATTCAAAGATTCTAAAACACTAGAATGTGTAGGTTGTCTTTTACAGTATGACATGTAAATTAAATTTAATAGTTAATCACCATAAGACATTATCAAAAATTAAATTTTTTCTCTTATTACCTACCTACTTCTATTCCTAGAATCTGTTTACCACCTTTTTTTTTTTTTTTAAACCATTTTTGGGTTTTGGGAGGCAAAGGCAGTTTAGATGCCAATCAAGCAATCCACCACAGTCTCCCCCAAGAACGAGGCCCTAAGCATGTGGCGGGGGGGGGGGGGGGG